CCCAGAAACCGCGTTCAGACAATTGGCCATATTTATGGCCTGCCTATATTGCGGCCCCTGGCAAAAGCCAGGGCGGGGCTTCAAATAACAAAAAATTTCATCCTAAAAAGATTTGATTTGATACCGACATCACAGCACTCGGGGCATTCCCATAAGCGCTCCGTCCCCATCGTCAGCGAAGAGTTCCGATACTAATTTTTTTTTTCACGTTTTTATTTTAACAAATTCATTGCTTGTTTCTTTTCGGGTCGGTCTCCCCAAATGCTTGGTTTGCGTGTAATAAAAATTAATGAGGATGACAATGAAGAAGAAGATAAACGAATCAATGTACCGATCTGTTCATATTTTTTCCCTTGTCACTAATTTTGTTTTCAAGTGTTTATTGTTTGAAACATATCTTACAAATCTCTTTTGAAACAAAAACAAAATCAATAAAATGATGTGAATAAAATGATGCTGATTCGTACCGTTTTCCACCGACTTTGAAAAGAAAGTAGACAGGGGGAGGCAGAAAGGAATGGGGGTCTTAAGGAAAGCAGGGGCCGTTTGTTTTGTCGGTGGGCGCGGTACGTTTCAATGATAATGTACATGCAATTATTTAACGTGGCAATGATGTTTTCATTACACTCCATGTCACCAAGCATCTTTGATTGTAGGGAGAGGAGAAGACAGAAAAGGATAAGGGGGCGGGGCCGTCGCTCAGTGATGCTGGTGACATGTGTTGATGGGCTAACAAAAGCAGGTATATGACATGATAAATGAAAACATGTGTGGTAAAAAAACAATGCATAATATGATTACCAACAAAACAACTTGACAGAAAATAGGACAGCGAGGCAGAAAAGGAAAATTGGGGCTGGATTTAGAAAGAGAGGGACACCACTCGTAGTTGTTGGCGAGACAACGTCAAAAGACGTTGTTTCCCTTGAAAATACATATAAGCTTTGTTTTTGTTCGTTTCATGGCAAAAATTATATCGTACATACATTATACATACTGTCAAGGACCTGATATCTATATTACTTAACTAGGGCTCGCTGCACGGCCCTGTGACAGACACACTATACCAAAACACACTCAACACATACACAAATGAAGCACACACATCATCTTTAATGACCAAAGAACAACATAATCTAAAACAACCTCTACAGTTATGGACAGCCCCCTTATCCGAAACTCCCGGGCAGTGGCAGCAGTTTTATTTACCTATCCACCCGGGCCATTCTCATGGATTAACCAAAGGACACGATTCCACCTCCTGTAGTGCAGCGCCAACCAGGCTACGATCTTCGCCATGCGAGACTCAGTGGCACACGCAGGGTGAGTGGTTCAAGTATTAATTAGCGGACAATGTCAACGACAGCACAAGACGCAGATAACCCCCAAAAATCCAAGGACAAGAACACCTACCTAAACATGGTACAACCCTAACACAACTGTCTTAGCCTACTATCAGCACACGAGGAATAACAACAGCTAACCAACACATACGACGACAGCGTTAACACTACACAACCTATCTGTCAATTCCTAACAAAAAAATACATTCACGTCTCTCAAAATGTCTTCATCCTCGCACGTCCCTTCTCCCTTCTCCTCTCCCTGTTAAGCTCCGGTTCAAACGTGTACGTTGCATCAGTGTTCACGCATCCCGGGTTTTCCCAGTATCATCAAATCAACTGGCTGAGCGCTGGTGCACATTTTTGGTCCGTCAAACACCAACTTGTAGTTACACGACGTATTGTCCATACTCTGTCCTACAGGGCTACGACACATACATTTTATATCATACATACATACATGTAAAGGTAGAAACATGGTGATCATGGTGATGGAATATTGACGATGAGTATGATGATGATTATTTGTTAGAGGATATAGTACAGTCACATTACACACATACACAAAGTATTCATAATGTGTGAAAAGGCATAGTGATCATGGTGGTGGTATATCGCCGATGAGGATGATGAGGATATTACCTTTGGGGAAACTCCCAATGCATAATTATATACATCAATGCATTACAAAGCATGAAAAGGAAAAGGAAAACCATGGTGATTGTGGCGATGGCACATCAGCGATGAGGATGATGATGATGTTGTGGCAAGGAAACACTTGTTCCCTGTCCGCCTGAAGGCGAAAATCAAACCAGTGTGATGATGATGATGATGGTGGCATGTCGTCGATGGTGGTGATGATGATGGTGGTAATGGCATTTACTGAGCCCTAACATTTAGGACATCTGGAAAAAAAAGTTTCAATTTTATATTTAAACATCAACATGAACAATTCCTTAGAATAAGTTCTAAATTGGAACTTTGCAAAATTCTTGTATGTCCAAACAAGGTATCTGTACTGTGCCAGGACCAGAAGGAGTTTGGTGTGCGTGTCCTTGTCAGATTTAGGAATATTGTTGAAAAAGATTGCTGTAAAGAGTTTGGTCTGTTTGCTTGCGTGCCTGTTGATTATTTCCCTAAGAAGTGTGTGTGTTGGTTTGACTGTAGAGCTGTCGTAGAAGAGGTGGCGCTCAGTCTCCTATATCTGCTCCCTACACAACTGGCATTTAGCCATGCGCCCATCGCGGTGGGCTTCTCTTTCTGTTGTGGGAGTTAGATTAAAAAGAAGCCTGTACGTGTAGCCTGCCAATTTTTTTTTTTAAATACGTTTATTGGTTGAAAACATGGTTTACAATATTTCAAATACATTAACAAAAGCAAAAATAATAAAATGGTAAACAATTATGACGTGGGACATATAATCCACCAACATTTGGAAGAGAATAGAACAAAGCAGGAGACAGAAAATGACAGGGGGTAAGGAAAGGAGGGGCCATTCATAATAATTTGTTGGTGGTGGTAGCCTGTTATGATGGTGGTGGTAGACTGTTATGATGGTGGGGATGATGATAGGGTTACATCATATATACATTTTTTACAAAATTTATAAAAACAAATTAAGGGTAGTTTTTCTTCTTCTGCGTTCGACATCAGTCATGCTAAACACTGAGTCCCGTCTGGGTCAAAAATAGGATTGTGCGTTTAAGGTCGCCACCGGTCCCCCATAGCTTCTCTCGCAATGTGGCTCCTTTGGGCCAGATCCACAGTCTTTGCTGGGAGAGGTTAGGGCAGTACTGTAGTATGTGCCCAGGGGTCTGTCTTTCTGCTCCACAATCACAGGCAGCAGGTTCTTTTATGCCTATCCTGTACAGGTGTGCTCGAAGACCATAGTGTCCAGTCCGAAGTCTAAAAATTTATGTTTGTTCTTTCCTGTTGAGTTTGTTTATGCTGTCACTCTCTGGTCTGTAATCTCCATTCTGCCTTCTCCACTCCCGCTTGAAAGACTGCTTTAGCGCTGTTTTGGTTTCCTTATAGCTGTGTGGTGGATGAGGTTGTGGAAGATTACTCCCAGCTTTTGCCAACTCATCTGCTCTCTCATTTCCTTGAATACCACAGTGGGCTGGTATCCACTGCAAGACCAGTTCTGCTTCCTTGGAGAGTAAGCCAATGTTGGTCCTTAGATCAGCAATTAGTTTGTCTAGTTTTTTTTTTTTTTTTTTTGGTGCTAGATAGTGCTTGGAGAACAGACAATGAGTCACTAAGTATAACAATTTGGTGCCCTCTGTGTTCTTGAGTGATGAGATGTTGGACTGCAGAGAGGAGGGCAGTTGCCTCAGCTCTGAAGTTAGTGCAGATGTCACCTGCTGGTAGAGAGAGTTTCTGCTCTACTGCTAGGGGGTTTAATGTAAATTCCACAACTCCCCTTTCTGACTGCATCTGTAGCAGAGCCGTCGGTGAAAACCTGAGTCCAAGTGGTGTTTGGATACATCTCATCAAGCAAAGCAAGAGCCAGGGTTCTCTGTTGTGTCTCCGTCTGGGCATCTTTTGAAGTTATTCCTGGTACCTTTAGGACTACAGTTGCTTTCTCTGGCTTGCTTGTCCATGGTTCTGGCCTAAGTTTTTCGCACAGTGCAACATCTCTTTCAAGCAGTCCAGGCTTCTACATTTTCCACAGTTTTTTGTAACAGATATGAGGCTGTGGTAGTGTATTCGGAGGCTGTCCAAACTGCAAAGTCATCGGCATGTAGGGTATTAAAAACGTGCTGGTGGCAGGTTGCTGTGATAGCATTTATGTAAACCAGGAACAGAGTTGGTGCTATCGCACTGCCCTGGGGAACTCCTTCTCTTAGTTTTGCCAGTTTGCCGATGTGTCCATCAATTCTGAATCTGGCTCTGCGTTGGAAAAGAAAGTCTTTGATCCACTTGTACATGTGGTGCACAACTCCTGCCTGTGGCAGTTTTAGTTGTAGGCCTTCTTTCCAAACAAATTAAGTGTAGTGATAATAATGCATATTCAAACTAGCTTCACATCTCACCAGCATTTGACATAGAAGGAGAAAGGGAGGAAGAAAAGGACTGGGGAGGGCAGGAGGAAAGGTGGGGGACAATTCATTTTTGATGCAGGTGATCTGTGTGGGTTTTTTTCTTTCAATGTTTAAGTTGCAGTTTCCGAGCTTCACTTTTTCAATTACATAATTGTGTGTGTGTGTGTGTGGGGGGGGGGGGGATTTGGACGTGGCCTTTAATAAAAGGCCAAACACCCCCCCCCCCTTCCACAAGCTTTTATTTTGATTACTCAGTCCATTTACATATTCTTAAGTTACATGATGAATGATACACAAAGGAATTATATTTACAGAACATACATGTATGCAGAGCATTAATTTCTACTTTCCCACTCCCTTTTTTAACCATTGCATTCCAACACGCTCCGTCTCTCTCTCTCTATATGTGCCACCTTTTGAAGGTCCAATTTTCCCATACACTGCCCTTAGGTAGTGTCACAGTCAAATGTCACCCAAGGGTCGTGGAAATAAAATAAAACTATTGTCTGCATGTTTTGTCTCTCTTTCTCGTTATTTTTTTTTTTTTTTTTTTTTCTATTTACATAATTTTTTATTTGTTTGTTTACTTGCTTACAGAAATGATATACAGCTGTCAAAATCTACTGGCAGCTCGTTGTGCGACTGTCCTCATCTGTCCATAAACTTTGCTTGGAGCACTTCCCAGAATAAGGTTACAAATGGCTCTCCTTGCTATCTGAATGTTTTGATATGACCCCAAAATGTGAATTTTACTGTCTGCAAGAACGATCCTGGTAGTTGTCACATTTTCTATTGTGAACTTTGTCTTTCCATTCTTGCCAGCCAACCTGCCAATAGCTCTAGCCAAGTGGTCACCTTTCAATGGTTTCACATCTGTGACGTCAAAACTCTCCAGATACAGATGATCCAAACGCAGAAGGGCAAGAGCATCTTCAACATCAAATCCTAGAATAAAGGCTTTGACAAAATCTTCAGCCCTCTGCAAAGCACCAATTTCCAGTGTTTCCTTACCAGCCTTTATCTCTACTTGTCGCTTCTTTGCAACAAATCTTACATTCAACTTCAGATTTTCTACAAGCGGTGTGAAAATTTTCAGCCACTCTTTCTGCAGCGGTGTATATCGATGAGGGGGAACTGGTATCCGTCTGATTTCTGATTTAGAACCCGATCCAACAATAGCCTTCAATGGTTTAAAGTGTGGCCTTTTTGTAACTGGATCTGTAATCTCACTTGTGTCCATATCTGGCTGTTTTCTTTTCCTAGACTTTGTTTTTGGAAGCAGAAAATCCTCATTTTTTCCATGTGTGGTCGTGTTCTCAGCCTCCATGTTTGGTTCGGGTCTCATCCAAAGCGTAGCCTGACAAAAATATATGTTGTTATAATCATGTTAAAAAAGTGTGTTAAACGCAACAAATTCATTCGAAGAGACTTAAGCTCAATATAAACAAAATCTGCTAAACCAGTTAAATTATCTTTAAAAATAAATATGCATATTTAGTAAAACTAGAAAGAAATATAGACGTCAATATATTCCTTAGTAAATTATAAATATGTCTTTTAAAGAAAATTTAAAAGTTCTAATATTTTAAAACTTATTGCCAATACTGTATTGTACTAAGAATATAAAAGCATTTAAAATAGTTTGTTTCCCTTGTGTAAAAAAATTGTAAAACTATTATGTCCCTTATAAATTTTTGTTCAATCTGGTTCTAGTTAAAGACCGAACAGCATAGGTGTGGTGATCGAAAGACTTTAAGGTTGGCGTGCAAATACTGTTTGCATGTATTGCATTGTAGGTATTTGTATGACTGTTTACAAGTGATGCCGTTTGTAAATATTGTGTGTGTTTTAGCAAATCCACTCATGATTCACATTAAAATTGATCATACATGCATCAAAAAAAAAATCTTAATTGACTGACTGACCTTCTACCCCACCAGGACATCACACAAGCGATAAACACCCGATGACACAAAGTGCCATCATGTGGATGAGGATCGCCGTGGAGAGGTCCCAGAAACCGCGTTCAGACAATTGGCCATATTTATGGCCTTTCTATATTGCGGCCCCTGGCAAAAGCAAGGGTGGGGCTTCAAATAACAAAAAATGTCGTCCTAAAAAGGACGAAACTGGATAGTAACAGAGTACAATTACTGATAAAAATCTTAATTAAACAAACATTGACATTTGTATTCAAAGATTATAGGCTGTTTGACATTTTTTTTTACAAAGGAATATAAAAACTTGGTTTATGTGTAATGAAGTAATGAGGATGACAATGAAGAAATAGAAGATATACAGATCAATATAACAGTCCGTTCACATTTGTGTTCCCTCTTACTAAGCTACAAGCGAAGTGTAGTCTACTTAATGTTAACGAATATATCTATGGATATATCAACTACATTGATTTGTCCCCCCCCCCCCCCTCTTTTTCCGGTGGGGTAGAAAGTCAGTCAATATATTAAAACCATTTCTGTTTCACACATCTAAGGAATCGCTCAAAATAAAAAATGCGTCAGTACTGATGATATCAGTAAGTCGTTAATAGGACGTAATTTTTTGTTATTTGAAGCCCCACTCTGGTTTTTGCCAGGGGCCGCATTATAGGCAGGCCATAAATATGGCCAATTGTCTGAACGCGGTTTCTGGGACCTCTCCACGGTGATCCTCATCCACATGGTGGCACTTTGTGTCATCGGGTGTTTATCGCTTGTGTGATGTTCTAGTGGGGTAGAAAGTCAGTCAGTTACTGATACATTATTGTGCATGACCTGCCTTTGGTCATACCTAGTTTCGTCCTTTTTTAGGACGAATTTTTTTGTTATTTCAAGCCCCACACTGGCTTTTGCCAGGGGCCGCAATATATGCAGGCCATAAATAGAGCCAATTGTCTTAACGCGGTTTCTGAGACCTCTCCACGGCGATCCTCATCCACATGGTGGCACTTTGTGTCATCGAGTGTTTATCGCTTGTGTGATGTCATAGTGGGGTAGAAAGTCAGTCGGTGAGTTACTGATTACGTTACACGTATATCCAGTTCGTTCGTTTTAGCACCATTAGTATCGCAAATGTACTTGGAAAGTGAAAACATCCTTATGCCATAGCAGACAGGCTTTGGACAGTGCTACTTCAAAGAAGATCAACGACCTACGTTTCGCAAAAAATTTAGGTTACTTTTCAGGTAGAGAAGTTGGTGCTAGTGGCAAGGATAGATCTGAAGATAGCCTTTGACATAGTCTGTAGAAGAAGGTCTCATGAACAAAACTAAGAAACTACAAAGTGAATGGGAATATTTACAAATGGGTGAAGGCATACTTGTATAACAGAAAACATACTTGTATAACAGAAGAGCCCGAATACAGATAGACAGACTCAAGAGTAAGAAAGTTTTGCTGCGCCGATGTTGTCTAAAAGGAGGTGTCCTGTTCTCAACATTATTTCTAAAGGTAAAAAGGTAAAATCGGGAGATGTGAACCCGCGTCATTGCTGGTATCAACGATACTAATGACTCCTTCAATCCATATTCTTCTTGGTCGTCCCCTACCTCTTTGTGTTCCTACTTTCTTCTTCTTCTTCTTCTTCTTCTTCTATTTCTTCTTCTTTTTCTTCTTCTTCTTATTCTTCTTCCTTTTCTGATTCTGTGACGAGCTGGTCTGGACAGCTGTTTCTGTCCTTTTAAAAAGTGCTTTGTTTAAATATTATTACCAAAGTTCTAAACATTTTCCTATTGCTTTTAATTAGCATAATAACACTGGATTAATTAAGAAATTTTCTTACCTCTTTCTTAATGCTTCATTGGAGCAAAATTATAATTAAATTATAAGAAAGTTATAAAGGCGAATGAGATGATTAGTCAAGGGGAACTGAAGAGTAACTTCCTCCTTTTTAAAGACTTCCTGTTCCCTTTTCAATTCAGAAATTGACCGGTTCAGACTAAAGTTCTTAGTCCGCCTGTGGTCCAATTTTCTGTTTGAATTCCCTGCCAGGGGTGAGTTAAAAGAATAAGTTTAATTTGATGTTTTGCTGCTTATTCCTCTGAATTAATTTCACAGGTTAAATTCTGAAATTTGATGCCCCACATGGCTCAACAACTATGATAAATTTCTTTATCCTTACTAACCACGTTTATGATCTAGTATGTACATGTATGCAAACATATTATCTATTTGGTGATTGAATTAATGTTTATTTGCTACTAGAAACGTGCATTGGTATTTTCAATTATTATACTTATATTAATTAAGTGATAATTATGTCCTCATGTGAAATCTCGGCCAGTTCCGGTTTCCAGCATGGTGGGACAATTAAAAAGGAATGAAGTGTATATTCATTATACCTAATCCCTTCTAAGTTGATTTTACCTCATGGTGATATTAGCTTAATAAATCACTGTCTTGCTTTAATTTAGATTTAGTCCAGATAATTCTGAGAATGGTTTAAGAGCTTGGAAAGTGAATACCACAGTGAGGCTGAATTTAATATTCACACTGTCAGAGAAGAAGAAAGATGTATGGCCCATGCTTGTAATTATTATTGTTGTAGATATATTTCCCTATTACTAGGAATACATTTCAGTTCTACAGCAGGTGGCCTTACAATTGTAATAATTATATTTCACCCTTTTCAACTTCTAAACTCTACTGAATAAGGTTTAGGACATGTGTGGATTTAGATTTAAACTGGAGTGAGTGTTGTATATTTTATGTTAATACTGTGACAGATGGAAAGCCCATTGTCATCTATGATTGTTATTTTGACATCTATCCCAGCACCCAGTATATTGATGGAGATATGTCAATCCTATTTATTTTCAAACAGTGTAAAGCACCTGTTATGAGTTCCTGGTCTTGGTAAACTCACTCCCTGCTTCTCATTCATTGTGATGTGAACCCATGTGGTTAAAATGAGAATATTGTGACATATGACTGTGTATGTCTGTGTGTGTAAGCATGTTAACCCTTCAAAGGAGTACTAGTGTGCAGACATCAGAACAATTTACACTGAGGAATGTCCTTTCTTTTTGTGTGATGTAAACTCTTGTTCTTGAGAGCTTTCATGAAACTGGTTTCCTAAATATTTCCCCATCAGGATTATGGACCATGTTCTGTATACATTCCCATTCTATACCAGTAGAATGTGAACACCTGTTACTATCCTACTCCATATATATGTGTGTAGTGTAACAGTTTAAAGACTGGAGGTATTGTTGTCTCCAGTTAGATCCTTCCTGACTGTTTGTATAAGGACTGTTCTATTGTTCTAGTTCCAGATGGTAAATACAGGTGGGAGTCCAGAAGTAGATCCTAAGCTTAGCTGCAGATACCCGATTGTCTGGACTGGACTGGAAGATTCGGCCTGCTTGATGTGTTTCCGAAGCTTAGTCAGAAGCTGACAACAGAAACCTAAGCCACAGCTAAGTGGACAGTGTTCACTAACCTTGTATAACAGGATTTTATATCCACAGCCATTTTGTTTATTATTTTGATATCCAATTCTGAATAAATGTTAGTTTTAATGTTCCTACAGTGAACAAAAGCTAGTATAACTTTAATACATTTAAATATACAATTAATTACAGTAGGGAATAAGATGTGGGCAAACCCCGAATCCTCTCATTTAACCAGCAAGGCTGGGGTTACTATAATACCTTATGATGTTTCACTGTTTGTAATTCCCTCTGTGAATTGAACATAGTGCATTCGCTAGTGAAAAAGCGAAGTTAACCGCCACAGATTCTTTTTCTTCTTCTTCTTCTTCTTCTTCTTCTTCTTCTTCTTCTTCTTCTTCTTCTTCTTCTTCTTCTTCTTCTTCTTCTTCTTCTTCTTCTTCTTCTTTCGTTCGCTTGAAATAAATTATCTATATCTGCAATGCTGTCTCTTGTATGAACTTCACTGTCTTTTGTAATTCACTAAGCGGCCCGTAAAGTTTGATTTCCACAAGTGTCTCTTTGGGCCAGATGTTTTGCCTGGAAGCGTTGAATCTGGGACAGTCTTGGAGGATGTAATCTGTTGTCTCAGGTGCCAGTCCACAGGTACGTATAGCTGATTCGCCAATCCTAAATTTTGTGTACATGTGGCAGCGAAGTCTATTGTGCCCTGTTCTAAGGCGAAGGACAATGACAAGCTCTGGTCTGTCCATAATATGGTAATTGTCTTGTGCCAGTTTCGGTGGCTTTCTAATTGATTTGATTATTCTCTTCTTCTGTTGATAAGAGACTGGTATGTCGGGTTGTTCTTCAGTTGCACCTTCCCTAGCTAGTTTATCAGCTTTTTCGTTTCCGGGAACGCCCACAGTGGGAAGGTATCCAATGCTTAACTAAATCACAACGGTTGCCTAATTCAGATAATAGTGTCCGTATACTTGGTAATGTTCCAGACTGGAGTGCCTGAAACATCTTTTGCATCTGTCAGGAATACCACTGGTTGTGAAAAATACGAGGTACTTAGTAGTTTCTCTACCGCTTTCTTGATAGGTTGAACTTCTGCATCATAAATGTGACAGTGCTTTCCTGTTGGTGTTGGTATTTTGACTGTATTCCTGGTATTATTAGGATACTCAATGTACACTCCCGCACCTCTGTTTCTGACTGCACTTTCTGCTGACCCATCTGTGTAAACACGGACCCAAAGATTCTGCGGGTATTCATTATCAAGTAGTCTGAAGGTGGTTGCTGTTTTACGCTGCACACTGTTTTGTTCTTCCTTGTCAAATACTCCTTTCACTTCTGTCTTGATGTGTATTGGAAACTTATACTCCTCTCTCCAGGGGGTCTGTTCTGGGACAGCTTTTGAAGGGCTATCAGTTGCAGGCAGATCAGTGGTTTGTCTGCAGAGCCGTTTGGCCTGGTGGATGAAACTGCTTCTCTTTAGTCGTCCCAAAGCTAGATTTTGGGTTTCTACTTTCATGTTGTACGCTCTTTTTTTGCTGACAACCGTGGATTCGTTGTCGTTAAATAGCTAACCAGGGATTCTGAAGTTGGCACTTTCGTACAATTTTCTTACTATTTTACCCGGAGCACTCATGGGTTACCACCCTCGTGCGAATATGTTGATCTGTTGTTTGAACAGAAACATAAACTATTTTACACCTGCCGAGCTGTGACGAGCAAAAGCTTGGCGTACAGTGTGACATGCCGTAAAGGCTGCGCGGTGATGTGCGGCGTACCAAAGGTGAATAAGAGCGTCGCAATGTAACAAATGGCATCAACAACTTAATATGCCACTGGCCAAGTGTAACACAACACGATGAATGTTGAAGCTTCCAAACGTAGCGGAACGAGAACTCTCTTTAAAAGGTTCCATTTGTGTATTGACAATAGCAATGAGAAAATATGCAATTAATAATCCAGACTCATTCAAACACATCAACAAAAGCTCGCTCATACATCCATGGACTGATATGTTCTCACGACGGGTCGCAGTCCGACCTTGAGATCCAGACAGTCACCTCTGTTTTCTGTTCCGCAGTCTGAATAAGTTAATGTAAGTATACCGGCTTACTGCCGAACTGTGACAATTTCTGCTGAGGTCTATATTGGAGTCCCGTGGTAAAACGTCCTCAAGGATCCAACTTTATACAACGTCTGCTTCCGTGGAATCTTGGGGTAAAGCGTCCTCAAGGATCCACACGTCCGTCTCCTTCGGACTGTAAACATCAACTCTTACCATGGCATCCCGGGGTAAAGCATCCTCAAGGATCCAACTTGATTATCATTCCTTCCGTGGCATCCCGGGGTAAAGCATCATCAAGGATCCACACCAAGGCCGGACCACACATCCGCCTTGGTCAAACTTTGACTTCCATCTCCTAGAATACAATCGCTTCACAACCTGACGTATTTTTTGACGTCCTATTTGCTCACTCAGTACTGGTGCGTTCTAGTGCACATCCGCACGCAACACGAGCAAAACTGTACTTTTGTTACCACGCCGGATGTTTTTGGACCTTTTAAGAAATTTTGCATAAATATTTTAAATTTTGTTATTGTGATGAACTTTTGAAACCATCAACAACAAAAATATTGTGATTAGAGGTAGACTGAAAATAAGCGTTATGCAATTGTTGATGCAAATATACAATTTGACCTGACCGGCCAAATGCGTGTTTATTTCAGTGTCCATCCAGACAATGGCAGATGGTTCTCTTTCATGTTCTCAGTCGCATTTTATTATGCCAGTTTATGTTATACTATTTTTTGGCCAACACTACGCTATAAGTGCCAAACGTGGACACTTACATCCGCCAATGAATTGTGACAACAGAGTAAATGCCTTAGAAGAGTTGCAGGACTTTCAAGGAAAGACAGAATACGAAATCATGAAATCAGAAGAATGCTAGGAATAAAGCGAGTCTTAAAGGACAACAAATAAAGTGATTTGGACAATTAACAAGAATGCCCTGGTACTATCTGCCACAGCGAACCACACTAAAACGTTACAACTGGTATACAGCCAGTGGAAGACCTCGAAAAATACAGAGTGATAGCATTAAGAACAGCCTTACAGAAATGAAAATCAGTCCAAATAGTGCTCTTGATAGAGCTCATCAACGAATGTAACCCCCCCCCCCCCCCCCACCACCCCCCCCCACCCCAACACTTCACTGCGGTACAAAGTGGAAGAGAAGAAGAAGAAGAAGAAGAAGAAGAAGAAGAAGAAAGAAGGAGAAGAAGGAGAAGAAGAAGAAGCAGAAGAAGAAGAAGAAGAAGAAGAAGAAGAAGAAGAAGAAGAAGAAGAAGAAGAAGAAGAAGAAGAAAAAGAAGAAGAAGAAGAAGAAGAAGAAAAAATAATAATAATAATAATAATAATAATAATAATAATAATAATAAGAAGAAGAAGAAGAAGAAGAAGAAGAAGAAGTTTATTTTATGCTCACGCTTTTAGGATTCAGTTTAATTTCAAAGTATGTTGTGACATTTTGTTAAGAAATTTATGATTGTTCCTATCTTTTTTTTAAATTGCTGTTTATGTTTCTATTATATGCAAGCATAAAAATAGGAATGTTAGTTCATTGGTCATGAAACGCCCCAGCCTTGTTAAAAACATTATGAACAATTCAATAAAGAATGGAGGGAACTAATAGTGCAAGATTAACACCCAAATGCGGGGGAATGGTGGAATCAAAAACATTTTGGTTTATAATTTCAGAAAAATGTGCAGACGAAAATTGTTTTCCATAGGTATACAAATATATGCTTAGTCTTTTGGCATTATCTAATTCTTCTGCAGCTGAAGAAAGTTTGCTCTCTGCTTAATAACATTAAGATTTTTTTAAAAATCTCAACTTTGGAGACAGCAATTATCTAACAGACAAAGAATTTCCTTTCTCATCAAATATAAGGTAAGCCGGTTTTATATATACCATTGATATATAGCGGACCACTTGTTGAACCTCCACGAGCCGCCAGTTCAATGGCCCTGGTCTAGTAGGTACTTCTTCTTGTGTTCGACAAACACAGGGGTGGTCAACAGACTGTCTATGTGTCTTGTATTTTATTTGTTTCTGTTCGCACAGCTGCCTGAAGGTTTGATCACTCCTAATAATTCAGAAGTCTCATCTGGATGTAAACTAACAAGGCAAATTTCAGATCCCGGTTCAACCTCACAAAAAGTTATAACTCGGGTTATCGGCTACACCAGCTTAGTAAAGTTTCCGTTCTCGCAATGGTACAAATACTACCACCTACTAATGCAGTTTACATCTTTATTTTCTTTCTGTCAATCGCTATTTGGATATTTATAACATCATTTGCTAGCCATGCGAAATATTCAGTTAAAAAGTTAGTCTGCTATATTTGGCAAATCATTTAGTTATTTCATTTATTATTAATTTAATTTAAATGTAAGCTGTTATTTTGACAAGCACACAGATTTATTGAATTTCATGTCCCAGCTGCGGTTGCGATGGCCGGGCCGGACCATATGACTTGGCTGGTTTCACAGGGCCCACTCCGGAACCAAGTAAAGACCAGATCGAGGGCAAGAACTCTGGCTTGAAAAAGTTATTGTTCCCATGATTCTGAGTTGGCCGACTGTAAGATAAATCAGGAACAAGCTGAGAAAGTACTTGAGAGTCACCGCCACAAACTGTTCCAAAAAGGTTTGGTCCCAACGCCTGTGGGATTTCATCCGTCCCACGTTGTTTCAGCTGCTTCAAGCTGCGAAAGAAAGAAAAAAGTAAATGATAAAATCTATTCTTGCTTCCATTATATCATTATTATCATTGCCCTCTGCTGCCTAAATACCTGCCCACGCTGAACTTTGCAACGGGAAGGCGCCCCTTAAAACTATTTCACACCATAGACTGTTTAACAAAAGTCAAATGGTGGATGGCCGTGGCAATAAGGTTTGTTGCGTGTCCTTTACAGGACGTTGCAGAACCAAACCCAGCAGCCCCTGGCTGTTGTGGGGTTTCTCTAGGCAAATTTACGTCCAGTAGTTTGCCACTGCTTACTGGACGGTCGGCCCCCTGATACTACTGTAGAACCAACGCAAGGCGCATGGACCGCACTTTTGATCGAACCCGGCACCCCGGCATTACGAAGCGTTTGCACCCACTTAGCCACAGAGCCGACGGCCTTGGCAATACAAAGATTAAAAGTCAACAGTTGAGCACCAGCAAAAAATCAGAGTTCCAATTTTGAGAGCATGCATCTTTTCTGTAACAACAAAGTGATGGGAACTATCTCTCAGTCGTTAAGAAAGAAAATAGGGGCTTTTGGTTTGAAATGCTATAGAAAGATTCACAGAATGCCGTGGGCAAAGAAAAAAAAAACAGAAATACTGGCACTCTAGATCTGAACATTCTATCTCGAAAACTGAAATATTTTGGTGATATCAAGCGCCACTGCGGATTGGGGGAAAAAAATAATAGCAGAAGGTATTGTATCCGGAAGGAGGGACAGCGGCGGACCAACACAAAGAAGGGCATGGGATGTAAGTGACTGCTTGAATATGAAAGTGCAGGAGGCGGGAAATCTGGTGAGAGACCGGATGACTTTCATGCAGACTGTGATGAGAGCGATGTTTTGCAAAGGACTTGCTACACGACGATGACAAGACAGAATTGAGCTTTTATAAGCTTTTTTTAAAGTTCCTTTTGTTTGCCTTCTTTCTTTACACTATCTCACAATAAGCCATCCAGCTCAAATGTTCACCACAGCCAAGCTCTGTGGATGACAGTGCAATGTGGTGCAACAATGTCATTTCAGGGAAATAATGAGTTCTCTGTGACATTAAGGAGGCTTGAGGTTTTGAACAACGGATCAACATTTGACCCCATAATTTCTCCGCTCTTCTTCTAACTGAAGTCTGAGTCTGAAGAAGCTCAGCATAGTGCACCGGGCTCTGTAGCACCGGCGAGGATCCTGAAAAAAAGTTTGGGTAGATTTTTAACTCCAAATTTTGTCCGGGCAGCGCCGTTAGGAACCCAGAACCTCTAGCACTCGAGTTGCACACCAAGCCTCGAGACAAGGAGGCTTGAAATATGTAACAATGATGCATTAGCAGAAAGATATTTTATCCTAACGTTAGAAATGATATCTAGGTGTAAGAGGTTAAAAAAATGATTAATCATTGTTGACAAATGTTTTGTTTTAAACTGACTTTTAAAAAAATTTATAAATTGACAAGCTAGAAAAATATAAATTTTTATAGAATAAGCTTTTATTTAAAAGGAAAACAATCATTAATGCACTAAACATTTTTTTTTTATGGTTTGCCAAACAACGAGGAGTGGTTGGCCGAACAGAACGCAGGTCTCTCATGCGAGAGACGCTGGTTCAAATCCTCGGTAAGGCTGGTGATTTTTTTCTGTCAGAGGCACAATAAAATATTCATCTGCACAGTCAAGGCGACAGCACTAGCCACTAAATCTGAGAGAAATGTGGCTTTTCTGCCTACCCCCGGGAGTGAACCCGGACCACAAGGAGCTCGTCACCCGGTCACCGCGCAATCCGGTTTAGCCAACTATGCTAGAGAGCCGGGCAATTAACTAGATTATCTGTCTTTTTTTTTCACACACTTCCTCTTTTTCTATGGAGTCATGGCTGCTATGAGGACCAAAATTGCACTGGAAACCAAAAGGAAGAAGTAAACGAGGATTCGTCAAAGAATAGTTGAAAGTGTCGACGCTACGGCAATAGACACTTTATGGTGAGTCTGTTCATTGCATATCTTTTTTACAGGACGATAAAATCCCAGGGATTATCTTTGTGTGTGTGTGTGTGTGTGTGTGTGGATTCCCTAAGTATTTTTATTTTTAGTGCCTTGATTAAATCACAATTTACCCGATTAGAAAACCTGAAGAACATAAACTACTGCCTGTTTTCTCACAAGACTTACCTGTTGCCTTTGAAGAAGATAAAGTGCCCTTGAGGATTGGTGAAGGCAGCGTCTGGCAGTTGGGGTGCATGAGGAAAGTAAATCTCCGTGGGTAAAGGGTAGCCTGACACCAATTGTTCTGTGTTTGGGTTCCACGCCCAAAAGTTGTCATTCTGTTAGAATAGAGACATGTAGTAGTTGAATCTTGTCTCCTTTTTAATCGAGTAAATGAAGAAAAATATAATTGTCTCACTGAAATCTTAATCCTCATCCTTTTCCCGGGTGACGCCAGTGTGTGGTGTCTGTTTACAGCTTAGCTGCGACATTGCGTATTTCGATCGATACATTCGAGCATTTGTTAACCGTGCTAACCTTCCCAGCTGGTTTCGTGGGACATAACCTAGCCCAGTTTGTGTAGTAACCTTTTTGTCCTCTTATCTACGGGTGTTGCCCCCGCCCCGGATAACCCATCCAGGGCAACCGCTCGTAGACTGGTCGGCTCTCAAAGGAGGGCAGGGGCAGATCATAGGCATTTCCCGCCATCCAAGGTAAACAAAAAAGTAAAGGTGCCTTTTCCACGCCTTTAGGCATATAGGGCTAGACCTAGATTTTTATAGACCAATCGGCACAGGATGGATGATGTGGTCAGCATCACATCGGCCGCCTTTATTTCCCGGGACTGCACCTGGTACCCACTTAAGGCCGGGTCGACCTGGGAGTCAAGGTAATTTTTGAAGCCATCCAAGGAGGCCTCCACAAAAGCAAAGCCGACACATGATGCCCTGATCCTGGGCTCACACACAAAATCGTCACGGTCTGCATGTGACTGCTTAACCTCACATCTGTATTTTGAGCTTGCCACTCACCACGGACTGTACCCCTGAGATCAACAGAGAACCAAACAGCACACAGAGATGGGAGCTACAGAGTAAGGTTAAGATGCGGAGGACACGTGGAGAGCTGCATGCAATAGCGAAGGATATTTGACTTGGCGTGAGTTGGTTCAGAGCCTGTGCTCCACTGGGGGCTGGAGGGTTAGAAAGGCAGAGGAAGAAGAATAACACATTTAGACAGCAGCCACAAATACTTACTCCAAACATTATAATCTGAGACTGACCCTCGTAGGTCAAGGTCATGGCAGCGGAAAGATTGTAGGTTCTGACGTCTGTCCAGATTTTCGGATAATGCACATCCAAAGTGAAGTTTGTGTAGCGCCAAACCTGGAAATCTGTTTTCAAAACCCCCAAAAAATCGTGTTGTTTATTTAGTATAATAACAAAATCATGCAGTGACACACACACACACACACACACACACACACACACACACACACACACACACACACACACACACACACACACACACACACACACACACACACAAATGGAGGTCGAAATGGTATAGCTACACGTAGCCGGACATCATCCACTTCCGTCCTTCGTCAGCCAATAGAGTTCTGGTTCTCAACAAATTTACATCACATCGCTCTTGCCATAGAAAGGGCAAAGTAACGGACGGACTTTGACAGAAAGAAAAAAAAAGAAGAAAGAAAGAAAGAAAGAAAGAAAGAAAGAAAGAAAGAAAGAAAGAAAGAAAGAAAGAAAGAAAGAAAGAAAGAAAGAAAGAAAGAAAGAAAGAAAGAAAGAAAGAAAGAAAGAAAGAAAGAAAGAAAGAAAGAAAGAAAGAAAGAAAGAAAGAAAGAAAGAAAGAAAGAAAGAAAGAAAGAAAGAAAGAAAGAAAGAAAGAAAGAAAGAAAGAAAGAAAGATGAGGAGGACGGACAAACAGAAGAAGGGAAGGGAAAGAGGAAGGAAGGAGAAGAAAGAAAGAAAGAAATGTGATAGGCTGGAAAACGACAAAGACTACTTTTCAGCAGCTCAACGATTTTGATTTAATCTGGTTTAAAAATGACAAAGAGGCCACAGGAACAGATATTAGTTTTAGATAGAAAAGCGGAAAAGTCTGGCCGCTGGGTATAAAAAGGCAAATCACTCGCTATTAGGACCTAACTGGCTTTCGCTCTGTGATCAGCACGGTACGGTCAAGACGCCCTCTCCCCCGCTGTTGACCGCACTTAGTCTCAACGCACAGGTGTGTCAGATCGGACCGGCTGAGCGACGCTAGACTGGCTCGTGTTCGCGATGATGGTATGTTTCCATAGTTAAATCTGAAATTTCTCCAGCGGTGTTAGATTTGATTTCTATTTTGTATTCTCACTAGGAGGTAGTTTGAAGGCAGGTCTATACAAGTGTTTTGTTGGCATATTGAAGCTTAACGTACATGTTAAATATATTTCGGTGTTTGCCATTGCTGAGTTAATCTCGCTGAGTGTATGGTGTCATTATCATATTTCCTTGTTAGCTGATGATCGCTTTAGATTCTGGTCAAGCACGTTGGTTGTTGTTAATGTTATTTGTGGACCACGCTGATGTTATGTTAAGTAAAATAAACAGATATTTAATGTGATTGTAATTCATTTGCTTGATTTAATTTAGGATCTGTAGTCCGTGGTTCGTCTAGGTGTATGAACCCATGTAGGTAGGTCGTCGTCATGCAACTCACGATACAAATATTCATTGTTTGGGTCTAAGTGAAATATTCTAGAATCTCTGCGCAGAAGAACACGGGTCTTTTCTTTACTTTCCTATTTTTGCCATTTAGCGGGGAGCTATTACTTTTGTTCTAATCACAATTTTCCTGTATCTCCCCTACTTTTGTGTTTCCTTTTCCTGCTTCTTTCTTTCCGCTAGCACAGAAAGAAAGAAAGGAAGAAAGAAAGAAAGAAAGAAAGACAGACAGAAAGACAGAAAGAAAGACAGAAAGACAGAAAAAGAAGAAAGGAGAAGATGAAGAAGAAGAAGAAGATGACAGTGAGTGGTGGTATGGAGATGGTATGACGATGATGAAGATAAAGAAGAACGAAAAGTGCGAACAAGAAAAAGCAGTATGAGTTGCGGGCTGATGTGATATCGTTGTGGGCGAGGGTAGAGAAGAATAGAATTTCACTGACACAAAAAAGGCACCAGTCATTTATCTGACCTTTAAAAAGGTAGGTTTTCTTGGTCTCTGGAATATATGTGGCAGCGTCCACGGAGGCTCTGGGGCCCTTGTGGTACACCTGGGATATCAGTTTCGGGTAACCAGGCTCCAAACCTTGAGCACCAATCTTGTATACGGAGCCATTACCAAACGCGTATAGAAATCCGCCCGGTCCTAAAATTTAAAAAAAAAAATCGATAATTAAATTATTGAAATTTAAAAATAGAGGATTAATTTATTAATTTGAAGATATTTAAAAATCGATGATTTAAAGATATGTATAGACTCAACAGTCGCATATTATATGGCGGAATGTCTGCATTATACTTCATTAACAAAGTGATCTTGGCTATAGATCGACTCAGTATGAGCGGGTTTCATGTATAGTCATGGGAAGTAAAAGCGGCCGACGTGATGTTGACCCCATCACCTACTGAGTGCCGATTGGTTTAAAAAATATAGATCGTGCCCTATATGCCCAACATGCATTGAGGCAAGGAAAGGGGATCTTCATTGGCAGCCAATCAAAAAATCTGTGCAACCTGAAATGTGTTTAAACTGCCAGACAGCTGTACACAACACTCAGATGTACACAACAAACAGATGTACACAACAGACAGATGTACACAGCAGACAGATGTACACAACAAACAGATGTACACAACAGACAGATGTACACAACAGACAGATGTACACAACAGACATATGTACACAACAGACAGATGTACACAACAGACAGATGTGCACAAGAGACAGATGTACACAACAGACAGATGTACACAACAGACATTGGTGTAACGGCTGAAATCATCACTCACACTGTCCATTGACGAAGAAAAATTATTTAGGAAGGTTTTTTTTAACTATTTATTATTACCAGTTACTGTTTATTACAAATACGCCACTTGGTTAACATCTTGCACATGACGAGAAAGAACGTTTGCTGTTTGCTTTCGCAGCTTTTGTACAAACTAACGTGTGAAAGCTACCAGTTACTAGTATCTGTACTAACAAGTTATCTGCGCACTCATATTCTCAACAGCGAAATAACGAAGAGGAAAATATCCCATGATACCTCTCCAGTGCAATCGAGCATGCGCACATTCATGTTTAAAAAAAAACATTCCCGCCATCAGACGTACTGGGATTATGATCAAGTTCCTATTTTGAGACCAAGATGGGAATTCACACACGGCGTCATTCTTCCACAGGTCATACTTGGCCCCCAACAACCCAAGGGACAGGATGGTCCAAATGAGCAAGCTCACGAAGGCTGTCAGGTTTTCTTCGTATGCGATGGCAGTTAGTTAATCGACAAATTATCCTCACTACACACACCGATTCAGTCCATAAGAGCTCGGATCCACTCCTCAGTAAATCCCACAGCGTGTAGCGGCTAGGGGCACCATTCCTGTATTGGTTTCTTATTTCTCTTTGCTTCCTGCCTAGTGCTCTTGTCTGCAACATTCCTTTTAACATGCTATTCTTGCAGTCTGGTCATAACTACAGATTCACAGTCATCACTTGGTTACAGCAAATGTCTTCTCATGTATCAGCCTGGTCCATAGCTCGCTCCCCCCCCCCCTTTCCACAAGAGCTTTACCTGCAAGCCTATCAGCTTGCTAATTTCCTTGCACGCCTGCGTGCCCTGGCACAAATATAAAACTGATAGGTGTCAGCCCCGACCGCTTCAGAAACTCCAACTACTGTCTTCAGGCCCAGGCCATTTCTATTTTCCTGAGCACACTTATTGAGTCGCTTGAGAAAACATGCACGGGTAAAGGTCAGTAAATTCATGTGAAATAGGTCGTATCAATCCTGTGGTTATGGCTGGTGAGAGTCACATGGAAATTGTGTCCGGGCAATGGTGGTGTGAATGGAAATGAGCAAGCAGATAGGTTGGCTGGTTTCATTTTGGGATGTATTACAACTGCACAAAGCACAAGTGATCTCTTTCCTGAAGGACAAGATAACATGAAAAATGGAAGATATTTAACACCCGTACCAGGAGAGGATGATGCAGCGGGGAGTGTTTGCTGTCTCTGTGTGCCACTCAAGACTTGGGGTAGGAGTGGTGGGCAAGACGAGTAGTTGACCAATGATAACGGGTACTGTCAGTATACTCACGCTTTACTGTCTGTTGAGAATGGAGAAGAAGCTAATATGGGCTTGTCCTGAATGCTGTGGTATCGAATCTTTACACAGATGCAGATAAGATTAAACTAAAATGACCTAGAGAGACGGATTCAGCGGAGAGTGAGCAGAGGGGATGGACGGCTGTCAACACCCAGGGAAACAGTCAGACGGACATATAATCTGGTTGTAACTAGCACCATCAGAATAGGAATAGTTCGCTGATTACCGAGGAAGGGGATAGCACACGTCGGAATTCTTTTGGTTTATTCATCCATTCATGTAGTTTTTCTATAGAATATGGACTTCAGTTTCAGGCAGGGGTCGTATGTAAGCAATTTTCCAGGGCAGATGGGGACTTTGGGTGTGTTGTGTAGATGTGCGGTTTGGCTGGAGCGCTGGACTTGCAACTTTAGGAATAGAACATTGACGAGTTAATTGCCAGGGCGAGTCGGAACTTTAGGTCTTTGTATATACATCTGGAACAGGTCTCGACAGTTCTCAGGGCTGGCGACGGCCCTTTAATTATCATCACAAAACTGAACATCAGTCAGAACGTTACAAACAACACATATCAGGTTACCGCTAGAGATAGCATCCAGTCGGAAGTTAACGCCACAGAAAGCCGGCAATGAAACGTTGGTGCGTCTATTTGATGTTGTTCTAACAGTTGTTTTTGGTGTTGTTGTTGCGGTTGTCGTTGGTATCGAAGTTACCCTTCTAGTAATAGTGGATAAAGAACGTGTCGAATTTACAACAGGGCGTGGTTTCCTAGTTTTTGGACCTGTGAAAAATCATAAAGAGTTTCAAAAGTAAATATTGGTAATGGCTACAGTTCAACTTATATATATATATATATATATATATATATATATATATATATATATATATATATATATATATATATATATATATATATATATATATATATATATATATATATATATACTGTCTTTCAAATGTGACTCTAGCATTGATGTTCATTTATACCCTACACTACTAACTTTATCATATGTTGCTGAACTTCTGCTACTGCTACCACAACCATCACCTTTACTGCTACTGCTACCACAACCACCACCTTTACTGCTACTGCTACCACAACCACCACCTTTACTGCTACCACAACCACCACATTTACTGCTACTGCTACCACAACCACCACCTTTACTGCTACTGCTACCACAACCACCACCTTTACTGCTACTGCTACCACAACCACCACCTTTACTGCTACTGCTACCACAACCACCACCTTTACTACTACTGCTACCACAACCACCACCTTTACTGCTACTGAAGCTGAACTACTACTGCTGCTGATACTGTTACTACTACCATTATTATGACTGTTACCGCTATTACTACTACTACGACTGCAACTACTACTATTAAAACTGCTGCTGCTGAACTGTTTGCAATCTTCTGTCTTGGAGCTCACGTTGGGACATCTATTGGCTTTCCTTGTTTGTCGAACCATTCGGTCATAAGTTTCCTTTTTTGTTGACAAAGATCCCTTTAACAGCACTATCATCCTTCGTTGTTTTTACAGACAGTGTGCCAATAAAGCAATTTAGAAAATGACCAATCAGATGTTAAACATACTCCCAGGTTTAGATGAAGTAGAAGTGTACTAGAAGCAAAGCCTGGGAGAGATCTTGTATTAGAGAAAGGGGAGAGACACTATGAAGGATAATATACAAATCTACTCCTTGAACCTATCTCTACTCCAAACCTACAAGAGCTCCAACAAACATTTTGTCGTGGTGAGTGTGAGAACAACCCACACTCAAGTTTCTTCAATAACAAGGGGAAAAAAAGAAGGGAAAAGTTCTTTAAGAGGGGGCTAAGACCAATAATGTCTAACAGATTAACCACCCGCGAGCTCAACCATGTGTTACTCATTCCACTAACAAGGAGATAGGATAATGAACACATAAGTTCAGAAAAATCACATCAGTGATGGCAAAAATCAAAACGTATTAACATGTACGTTCAGCTTCAACACACCACAAGATTAGTAAATCAACAATAGCTACCTGCAATCAAACTATCTCCGAGCGAGGACTCAGACCTAGTTCTGACTCACTCAATTAAATTGCTGATGGAAATCTAAGTCTAGCACCAAAAGTATCCATTGAGAAGTACCAAAAACCGTGAAGTAGCCACGCCATCCCTCTCCGATTCACCAGCCTGGAAACCAACGTTGTGTTAAAAGTCACCAGCGACTGCACAGCAACGAGATTTCCGCAGCGAGGCTAGTGAGGTCGGAGGGCGGGAGCCAAGAAAGGCAAATTTCCGGCCCCGTACTTTGTTTATGCTCATGACTTGCCAGATTTCTTACCGCTTGCATTTTAATCACAAATATTCATCAGGCCCGTTGGCGTCCTGCCACAGAAGCTTGTGGCGATGAACATGCAAACTGACCACCGACTCTCATCCATCGAAAAAAATGAGTAAACAGAAAATCTGTGGTATTTCATTACAACAGACATTGAATGTCTAAGGAGTTGGGGCAGGGGAGCGGGTGAATAGCAGATAAATCAATAAGATGAAATAAGTATTCTTCCCTTTCTTCTTCTTCTTTCTCTTCTTCTTCTTCTTCTTCTTCTTCTACTTCTTCTTCTTCTTCTTCTTCTTCTTCTTCTTCTTCTTCTTCTTCTTCTTCTTCTTCTTTCTTCTTCTTCTTCTTCTTCTTCTTCTTCTTCTTCTTCTTCTTCTTCTTCTTCTTCTTCTTCTTCTTCTTCTTCTTCTTGTTCTTCTTCTTCTTCTTCTTCTTCTTCTTCTTCTTCTTCTTCTTCTTCTTCTTCTTCTTCTTCTTCTTCTTCTTCTTCTTCTTCTTCTCCTCCTCCTCTTCCTTTTTCTCCTCGTCCTCCACCATCTCCTTCTCCTCTTTTGCATCTTCATCATTAATCAACATTTAATATTCATCTAATCTCGGCTAGGGCACCAACAGAGCGGTGTGCTGAAGGTCTTTACTAGTGTCTCATGGGTAATCTTTCACAGTCGAACGTGTGGGACATATTTTGCCTTTCCGTCTATCAAGGTCTGGAAAATCTTGTATAACATGCTCTGAAGTTGAAGTAAAGTCAAATATTGCCGTCACAATAAAAGCCAAAGCACTCTTCTAAACATCATATCGTAGACAATATAGAGCGAAGGAATCAAATGCAGGCGAAGATGAGATAATTGAAGATACGTCAAGGGTGGGTGGTGTCACGAGACGATCTCAGTGATTCCAGAAGTTAGTACTTGTAATAAGTTCTTCTGGTTCTAAAGAGACAGAATTATATTTACTCTGCGCTTTATCCTAATATTGCTTTAAACCGCACGGATTTAAATTGTTACCAGTCCTTCTTCGAGACAAGCCACTGCGCTTTGTTTAAAATTACCCAACACTACGTAATATAGCCCGCTGGTTCAGACTAGGGATGTTAGATTGCATTCTCACGCCAGTGTCAGAATGTTATCTCCTGACCAGACTGTAGAGACTGAGGGGGGCCCTTTTGACCAGGTAAATTGAGTGGACGCTAGACATTGTGGAGCCCAGAGGTCAGAGTTTCACACGTCAGTGTAATTCGGGGGAGAACAGTTGTGTGGCAATTAGGACTGTTTGATCTGGGTCAAGTAGGAAACACAATGGCTTCACTGAACGTCTTTTAACACCTGCCAGTTAGATTCGTTGTAAACTAGATTGGGTCACTTAAGAATGTTTGCTCTAGGGATGTCAGTCCAGAATTGAGTGACAGGTCACTGGTTAGCCAAGTGATCTGATAGTTACCTCAGGGGCGGTGCTTAAGCCATCATCTTGAGGGTTGGGTAAAAACTAAGGAAAGGGAGGAGTTTAATTTGGACAATAGATTGATACTTATACTTCGAGCCTGTGGAATTTCCGTCATTAATCGCAGCCTGCCGGCAAACAACACAGATCGACCTAAAGGTAAATTTTACGGTCGCATTCTGTTTTGGCGATTAATGGAAAGTTCCCAGGTAAGAGAAAATATTAATTTTAATCTTGTATACTTAGGTTAGGGAGTTAAGCTTTTAGTCTGTACTACCTTTTCCTAATTTGTCTGCACATTCTGCTTGAAATAGTTCTTTGTGAATGTTCAGTATCTCAGTTAGGGAACTGCTAAACTATTCCTATTTCTTGTATGTTTGTGTCACATGTTTTTCATTGTATGTTTTCATGTGTATAAAATAAGATGTGAACAATGACGTTTGCTATAATGAAATGTAATTATATTGTTTTCACGATCAGCCAAAATATGAGTTTGGACTGTGGGAAATGATGCCCAAATATGTGCAGGGATGTTGCTACGTTTTGTGTGCCCACCACGTGCTCACTTAATGTGTTCACCTGAACAGGGGATTTATAACCCCAGGGGGAGGATAATGGGTGTATAGAATTCACGGTCACTGAAAGATAATATTCAGGACAGCGTGCACATATATAATGTTTGAGTTTTCAGCACATAACCTGCTCCACGTGGTCATGTAATATCAATGTCAGCCAGTTGTTGGAAGTCTGAGTGATGACGGACAACAGACTTAGAAAGTCAACTATCATGACATAGCATTTGAGGGAAGGCAGGATATGTGACGCCCATGTAAGACAAAAGACCTTCAGACTAGACTGGAGAGGATGTGGAATATGAGGAGGAGTGATGGGCTATATCTTATTATTATATGTTGTATTAATTGATACATGTATTCTTAGTGTAAGTCAAGATACTACACGTATGTGTTTTGTTTCCATGATTACAGCGCCCATGTGACCATCAGTCCATGAAGTAGCCTACATTGTGTTAGACTCGGCCAGCTGGGAACGAGGTGGAGAACGAGGTGGAGAACGAGGTGGAGAACGAGGTGGGGATGAAGTGGAGAATAAGCTGAAACAGGCAGACAACAGGCAAGGAAGAGTTGGACAAGCTTGACAGTTCCTCACGGCTGTCAGAGGCTTATAAGTTGAGTTAACCCCTTTATGTTAACCTATTATCATCATTATCATACCACTCTAACCCCCGAGCTGTTTTTCTCGCTGAAGCTTACCACCATCATCAAGTTAACCAGTCACTGTTTGTGTAAATCAACAAACTGGGAATTTCATTGTAGTAAATAAAGCTGTATGTCAAGTTTTAAACTACATAGTTTGTTAAATTCCAAATGTCTGTTCTTACATGTTTAATTAAACTGTTAAGATAGATTACCATTTGGTGGGGGCTCAAATAATATAATAATTCTTTAATTATTAATAATAACACCGGGAGAAGGTAGATGACGGAGGAATCACTTGCCCTGTCTAATAATTCATTAACATTAAGTATGATAGACATCTCAAATTCCTTGCCTTCTCTTGTGGGTACCAAGTTCAGCTAATGTTAATATACTTAACGAGCCAATATGGCTGTTTTCTTGGATATCCAGGACTTTGTCTGAGAGCAACATAGCTCAGATTTTAGTTCGGTTTATCTAGTGGAGAGAATGTGTTGAAAGGAAGATCCCTACTCAACAACATAAACATTTAAACCACGCGTCACGTCACAGGTGGGCAACCACTGTTAAACAAAGGCAATGAATTTACCTCTAACAAAGAACTCCAATGCTACGATACTTTTTTTCGGCCATGTTATGAGAAGAAAGAAAATGGAACACGTTGTGACCACTTGAAAGATCTGTGGAAGGAGGGATAGAGGAAGACAACGAGAGAAGATTCTTGACAGTCTTGTTGCATGGCATGGAGGTGTGCCAGCACACGAACTGATAAATGCTGCAGGAGCTCGCAGAGTGTGGAGAGGCATGATCGCCCACGCCAGTCGGCAAGGCACCTGATGATTATATATATATATATATATATATATATATATATATATATATATATATATATATATATATATATATATATATATATATATCATCAACACAACCCCTCCCCCTTAATCCCTTTCCCCTCCATTTGAAAACAAGTTTACGGCGCTGCATTAAGGCATTTGACCGAACAATTTAATCAAAGCCTTACCATACAAAGACTGAATGCCTAGGATGTCGTCCTTTTTCAAACACGGCTTTTCACTGTATGCGTAGAACGGCGCCATCAAAGCCTCGGGGTCACTGGAGTGCCCGAGTCCTAGAGAATGGCCGAATTCATGGGCGGCGACCATCGTGAGATCGGCCCCCTCCCCTGTGCCTACAGTCCAAGGTTCGTCTTCATCAAAATGAGCATCTCCGCCCACGCCGCCTCCTGGTCCGTACGCATGCGCTAACACACGACCTGCAAAGACAGCATTTTATGAAATGAAGAATATTTTATGCAGTCTTTCTCACTTAGTTGAGACGACGGAGATTTTTTTTTTTAAATCGTTTTTTTTTTTTTTTTTAAGACTTCAACAATAAATGAATTACAGAACACAAAATGCACCATCTGACCCAACCTCCTTTCCCCCAGCAAAGTTTGTGTGTGTATGTGTGTGAGTGTGTGTGAGTGTGTGAAAACCCCCAGATTTCATTGCTCTTGATCTGACATAACAAACTAGTCACTGATGTGACAGACATGACAAAATAGTCATCGATGTGACAGACATGACCTAGTCGTCGATGCGACAGACATGACATGACAAACTAGTCACCGATGTGACAGACATGACAAACTAGTCACCGATGTGACAGACATGACAAACTAGTCACCGATATAACAGACATGACATCACAAACTAGTCATCGATGTGACATACATGACAAAGTAGTCATTGATGTCATTGATGTCACAGACATGACAAACTAGTCACAGATATAACAGACATGACATGACAAACTAGTCACCGATGTGACAGACATGACATGACAAACTAGTCATCGATATCACAGACATGACAAACTAGTCACCGATATAACAGACATGACATGACAAACTAGTCACCGATGTGACAGACATGACATGACAAACTAGTCACTGATGTGACAGACATGACATGACAAACTAGTCACCGATGTGACAGACATGACATGACAAACTAGTCATCGATGTGACAGACATGACAAACTAGTCACCGATGTGACAGACATGACATCCAGATGCCCTCATACACTAACTGACCTTGTCCGTCAAAGCTGTTGTGTGGTCCATCGCCGTGTTCCCCCCTCACAAATCTCATCTCGATGTCAGGATTATCTTGTGTCCGTTGAAAGGTCAGCGGGGTCACCCGCGACCACAGATCCAGGGCCGACTCAATGGCCGAGCTGTTTGTGATGGGGATGCAATCAAATATGGATACAGTATAACTGGTACAAATAACATCTGGATATAATATGAAAATGAATAAAATATAACTGGTACAAATAATATGTGGATAAAATATGAATATGGATAAAATATAACTGGTACAAATAAAATGTGGATATAATATGAATATGGATAAAATATAACTGGTACAAATAAAATGTGGATATAAGTTGAATATGGATAAAATATAACTAGTACAAATACAATTTCGATATAATTTACATATGGATAACAAATAACTGTGGTACAGTTTGAATGTGCAATGAATACAAATGTCAGTACATTATAATAGTTACACAATATCAATATGGATAGACTATAAATGTATGTCCCCGTGGACATAGATGTGTGTCGTGAGCTATCTCGCAGTCATTAAGTCAAAAAATATGTTTTTCTTTTGGGCTATACTTCGAAAAACGGTCGGTAAAGATGGCGGCCGAAAAATAAATATCCTTTCGAGCCGCAGTCACGTGACCTAATTTGCGGTTTTCCGGCGACTACCGCCACCGCTACGTGTCCCAGATGCCGCTCACGAGGCGTGGATTGGGGCTAAACTAGATGGCTAGAACTCACGAGCAAAGCTTCAGGAGATGCCGAAGCTGCTGCTCGTGGGTCCTAGCCATATAGTTTAGCCCCAATCCACGCCGCGTGAGCGGCACGGGAAACGCGGTGGCGGTTGTCGGCGGAAAACCGCAAATTAAGTCGCCGGAAGTGCGCAATTGACAAGTGACTGCGGCTTGAAAGGATATTTTGTGGCCGCCATCTTTACCGACCGTTATTCGGAGGATAACCGTTTTTTTTTTTTTAATAGCTGAAATGCTACAGAAAGATTCTCAGAACACCACTGACCCAAAAGAGAAGAAAATAAAAAGGCTATCTTCTGAATAACGGTCCCAAATTATCGAGGCCGAAAATATACCCTAACAGGGCCTCAGTCACGTGTCAATTGCGCACTTACGGCGATCACCGCCGAGAGTATCTTGACGTGGATTGGGGCTAAACTAGATGGCTGGGACTTACGAGCGGCTGCTACCGTATCTCCTGCAGCTTCCTTCATTTTATTTGCTCGTGAGTCCCAGCCATCTAGTTTAGCCCAAATCCACACCGCGCGCGTCGTGGGAGAAACTCTCGACGGTGGCGTAAGCTCGCAATAGACACGTGACTGAGGCCCTGTTAGATTTTTTTTCGGATTCGATAATTTAGGACCGTTATTCGGACGATTGCCGGGGAAAAAAAGAAACTTAAAAGATCCGAAAATCTTGTCTGAAATATTTTGGCCATATAAAGCGCCACACAGGATTGGACAGTGTCGGGGTCCTGTATGGCTATGAGATGGCGGTGTATGATGATGGTGAATAGTGGGCTATCACTTAGCTGACGGAGACTTCGATGAGACTAGTGTGACGGATAACTAATCACTCCCGGGTCCACGAGCCTCTCATGGACCAGGTCGACAAAAGCGACGGGAAGGCGGTTTGTTGGGAAGTTCATAAGTGAGACTTGGACAAGGCGTGTACCGTTTCTGACCGGTAGATGTTTCCGTATTTGACTCCAGTTAGCGACTTGTATTCTGTGATAGTGTGTAAGCATGACGGTAGGGTAATTCATGTGTTATCGAGATGTGATAGGCTCGAGAAGGCCAAAGACTGCTGTTAAGCAGCTTGTCAATTTTGGTTTCTTTGGCCGATACCTTCATTTAGTCTGGTTTACGAAAAGCGGAAAAGTCTGGCCACTGTGTATAAAAAACCTTGATTAATCTTAACGGTCTCTTTGGCTCTTTTTTCGGACAGAACCTGCACGGGATCCACCTAGCTGTTGCAGCTCTGCACATTGGGCTAGACAGCGTGGGTATGGGTGACTTCAGGGGATGGCCGGTATCCTGGTTTGTTTCACGGTACGTTTCATTTGCTTAGGTGGTGTTAGATTTGATTTCCACTGTGCATCCCCGCTAGGAGATAGTTTAGTGGCAGGTCGCTATAGCTGATTTGTTGGTCTGGTGGCATATTGAAGCTTACTTAACGTACATGTTATATATATTTCGGTTCTGCCATTGTTAAGGTATTCTCGCTGAGCGTATGGTGTCATTATCATATTTCCTTGTTAGCTGGAGATGATTAGCACTTTAGATTCTGCCTCAGGTCGAGCACGTTGGTTGTTGTTAATGTGTTGTTTTTGAAGTAGGCGTTAATTATGTGTTCAGTTCAGTAAAATGAACATCTGTTTAATGGGATGATTTTAATTCATTTGCTTGATTTAATTTAGGATTTGTAGTCAGTGCACGTGGTTTGTCTAGGTGTATGTAATCATGTAATTAGGTTGTCGTCATGTAACTTACTATGCAGATATTCTTTGTCTGGGTCTTAGTGAAACATTCTGGGATCCCTGCTCAGAATACCATTGTCTTTCCTTTACTTTCCTGTTTTTCTGTTTAGCGGGGAACTATTACATTTGGTCTTAATCACAATTTTCCTTTATCTCCCCTACTTTTGTGTTTTTTTCTTTTTCTTTTCGCTAGCACAGAGAGATAGGCTTCTATGTTAAATTTATACTGGTATTCTGTGTGTTAGCGAGGTGGGTCTCAAAGTGTTTGTCTAATTACGTCATATGGTCTGTCTGGTCACATTCTCCGGAGCCGTGCGGTAGCAATGCAGTCCCAGTGTAAGGTGCAGAAGAGTAGGAAACAGCTTGGAGGGGAGGTTGTTGGTTGGGACCCAGGTGATGACTGGAACAACTGGATGGTCAGTGTGTGAGTGGCGATTTCAAAACCCTGACTGACTTTCTACCCCACCAGGACATCACACAAGCGACAAACACCCGATGAAACAATGTGCCACGATGTGGATGAGGATCACCGTGGAGAGGTCCCAGAAACCGCGTTCAGCCAACTGGCCATATTTATGGCCGGGCTGTATTGCGGCCTCTGGCAAGAGCCATGGTGGGGCTTCAAATAAAGAAAAATTTCATCCTAAAAAGGACGGCAAATACTAATAAGCCATATTTTTCTTAAACCCTCCGACCCGTTGGGGTAGGGTTGCGGTCTGTCTCTGAGATAGACAACTGCTTGTTGTAAATTATTTTAAAGACTGACAGGTATGCTCTGACAGTGTTTGTTTAGCTGTGTTTAAGGATAAACGTTTCTGTCACAGAACTGCCAACGAGCCACATGTGGCGGCAGACAGAAGACCAAAAGGCATGGTACCAGTAAAGAGCGGCAAGGGCCGACCAGCCTGAAGACGACGAGCACCGGATAAAAGAAACATCTTGAGTAAGGAAACCACACAGCAAGTGGGAGAGCTGGCGAGAGACTGGCAGAAGCCCTATATGTTTTGTTTTGAGAAAAGTACATTTATTTCTTCGCTGTTGGTAAATATAAACAACATGTTCCATGAACACTTACAGTTGATCCTTTTCGCTCACTTTGGTCGACGTCTGCGTTAGCTTCCATTTCAACACGTCTTTGCTCCATCGTTTGCCTACAAAGGAAAACAATGGGAGTTAACTCTTAGCGTAAGAGCTACACACATAGGCTTTTACAAACAAACAGTTACAGAAATAGAGAGGAAACGATTAGCAATCCTCATAATTAAAGCTCATTGAGATCGATGCTCAAACTAACAATTTCTGTCGAAACACAACGCCAAACGTGACTTATAGAAATAAAGGGACAGTGTAGAAAATCGACTTTATTGCCTCATGTAGGTTGGTCTCCGTATGTATTCGTGAACTCAACAGCGCGTCAGCTAAACGAACATTTGGTGGGTGAAGCAATCAGCTAGACCAGTTCGCCACAGAGACCTAATTGTTTTTCTCATTTACAAATACATCTAGGAGAATTGGCTCATAAACAGCATCCTGTCCCGAAAGTTGACCATGTTAAACGTCCTGTTGGCCTGGAGAAGACGGTAGTGGAGGATATTTTCCAGAAAACGCGACAGAGGCCAATCTCTGCTAATGTGGATACAAAACACTGAAGATTCATTAGCTATGCAAACACACAGGGCTATAGAAATGACTAGAAAAAAAAAAGAGAGCCGTTTAGGGGTGGCACGAAGAGAGCGACGTTTTGAAAAAGACCTGACATATTAGAATTGAAACCAACCATACTTCTTCGTTGGCGACCTCTGCTCATGCGCTTAATCTCGTGGGCTAAAAACTGGGATGTCATCTCAAGGTCTCTCATGTTTCCCCAAAGCTTTGGTGTTAGGTCTGCTGGGTGTGGCCACAAGTTGCTTCGCTGCTGCTCCAGTAGAGGACAGTCTTCTAAGACATGTTCTTGGGTCTCTTCAGCACTGGCAGAGAGCTGTTTGGCTCATACCTATTTTATACAAGTGTTTGTTGAGTCTGCAGTGTCCAGTACGTGAACAAAGAATGGTGACCTGGTTAGTTCTGCTCAGATGGTTGAGACAATTTTCATGGTTGTAACCAGTTTTTGTTTGCCAGTCTGTTTGTGATTTTCTTCATTCGCTTTTTTTTTTTTTTTTTTTTTTTATCTATTTCTGGAAATGATAGTGGCTTGTCGACTTTTTTAATCATAGCCTTAAGCCGATCGTACAGTTCATTGAAGGGCGACAAGAAGATGGATGACGATAGAGGTTTGACTGCTTGACGGGAATGCCCTGGTACAAACTGCCACAGAAAGCCACGCTGAAACTAACACACGGCAAGGGACAGACTAAGTTAAAAACAGACGGGAAAACATGAAAAAGAACAACCTTAAAGAAATAAAGATACCATTAAACAAAGCATGAAAAGCACACAGCGGATCCTCAAACCTTCCAATCCCCTAACACTTCCCTAGGGTGAATGGAGGAAGAGCAGTCCTCACCCATTGAGTTGTAAGCATAGGGAATATTTCTGTCCCCGGAGCTGCTGACGTCATCTGGGATTCCGCATCTGGGTGCCTTCATTTTCATCAAGGTGGCGCGGTCTGGACTCCCCGTCGTTTCAAGGCCAGTGAACTTCTGGAATTTTCTGCGGATAAAAGCATCCGTTTATTTTATTAATGCGTAAGTCATTCCTCTTCTCTCTGAGGGTGTGGGTTATATTATAATTTTTTTTTTTTTTTTTTTTGCAATGTGTGTTTTGGTATCTGTATGTATCAATCAATCAAACAATCAACCAGCACGTCCATTACAGAACGTCGCTCTCTTTACTGCACGCCTGAATGTCTCTCTTTCTCTTGTCGGTTCTCCAGTCATGTGTGCTGTATCCATATTCTCGGAGGTCAGCCGCTGTCTATTTTTCCGGAAACTGCATAGTTTATAGTAAATTTAAATAACTAGGGTAAATTTTCTGCACAGAGAAGGCAGGGAAATAAAAATAAAAAGAGGAAGAAGAAGAAGAAGAAGAAGAAGAAGAAGAAGAAGAAGAAGAAGAAGAAGAAGAAGAAGAAGAAGAAGAAGAAGAAGAAGAAGAAGAAGAAGAAGAAGAAGAAGAAGAAGAAGAAGAAGAAGAAGAAGAAGAAGAAGAAGAAGAAGAAGAAGAAGAAGAAGAAGAAGAAGAAGAAGAAGAAGAAGAAGAAGAAGAAGAAGAAGAAGAAGAAGAAGAAGAAGAAGAAGAAGAAGAAGAAGAAGAAGAAGAAGAAGAAGAAGAAGAAGAAGAAGAAGAAGAAGAAGAAGAAGAAGAAGAAGAAAGAAGAAGAAGAAGAAGAAGAAGAAGAAGAAGAAGAAGAAGAAGAAGAAGAAGAAGAAGAAGAAGAAGAAGAAGAAGAAGAAGAAGAAGAAGAAGAAGAAGAAGAAGAAGAAGAAGAAGAAGAAGAAGAAAGAAGAAGAAGAAGAAGAAGAAGAAGAAGAAGAAGAAGAAGAAGAAGAAGAAGAAGAAGAAGAAGAAGAAGAAGAAGAAGAAGAAGAAGAAGAAGAAGAAGAAGAAGAAGAAGAAGAAGAAGAAGAGAAAGAAGAAGAAGAAGAAGAAGAAGAAGAAGAAGAAGAAGAAGAAGAAGAAGAGAAAGAAGAAGAAGAAGAAGAAGAAGAAGAAGAAGAAGAAGAAGAAGAAGAAGAAGAAGAAGAAGAAGAAGAAGAAGAAGAAGAAGAAGAAGAAGAAGAAGAAGAAGAAGAAGAAGAAGAAGAAGAAGAAGAAGAAGAAGAAGAAGACGAAGAAGAAGAAGAAGAGAAAGAAGAAGAAGAAGAAGAAGAAGAAGAGAAAGAAGAAGAAGAAGAAGAAGAAGAAGAAGAAGAAGAAGAAGAAGAAGAAGAAGAAGAAGAAGAAGAAGAAGAAGAAGAAGAAGAAGAAGAAGAAGAAGAACGAGAATAAGAAAAAGAAGAAGAAGAAAAATGAGAATAAGAAGAAGAACTAGATGAATCAGGGAATGACAAGGAGAAGGGTGACTCTTTAAATGACTTTAAAAAAAGATCAACTGACCTGATGGCGTCAGAAATTACTTGGTCCGACTGGTCCGACATGACCAGGTCGGGATCATTCGAGCCAGTCTGCAGGTATCCATACTTTGACAGAAATTCCTGGTCAAAAAAAAAAAAAAAAAGACACGGTTAGTTTACCATCGTGGTGGCGACGCACGTATAGAAACGGTTTAGTGTTGATTGAATATCACTTTCATTGTACACATACATATTCAAGTGATACAATCTTCTACTTACTCACTTACTTGGTCGCTAAGTAAAAGTCGGCGTCTGTGGTTAAGACTTTGTGTATGAAGATCCGACCAGTATGCGATCAATGGCAAACTACGGAACTGTAGAAAAAGTGTCTAATGAAATCACAAACAGCGAAATACAAAATTATGTGGTTGCTTTTGTCACTTTCTGTAAAGAATACGCAACTAACGTGTCAAGTTTTACAGTGCAAATGATACTCTTTGCTAACCCTCTTCTTTTGGCAGATCGATCGGCATTCAATGGACTCAGTGATAAACATTACATCTGTGCATTTTCCAGACATTCCCTGTTACCCATTTTAGGCTAAGCCGACCTAACAATCCATAACAGTTTTATCTTCTTCATTCGGGATTTGAACACAATTACAACAGATCCGATAAGCAAGCGTTATGGATACTGCGCCACGACGGTTTCTGAACGACTACTCACCAACAATTCATTGACAGGTCGTGGAGTGTCACCAACTGGCACGGCTTCAGCCGGTTGGTTGGTTAGCTTCAGAGCGGATACGAAGATGAGATACATCGTAGTTGTCAGTAACATTTTTATGTCTGTTTTCACTTCTGTCCTAGGAATACTATTATTAACGTTGAGTGCACTTCAAGTTGACCTATCGTCTGCTTGAGTCTCAGTTGAGAATCGCGGTTTTTATGTTGTCCCTGCTTTGTTTTGAACGTCAAGTGGTTGGTAAATTCTGAAGAGTGTTCAGTTTTCTTGACGTCAGGTTGGTAAAAGATCAAAGACAAGAAGCGTCCTACTTTCTGAAGAAAACTGTCATAAGATGCGCACGTACAACAGATTGAGAGATAGCCATCTGGCAAGTGCGATGGAGAATGTGCCAAGTGGACAATTGTACTAGGTTCCTACCTAGATTTATGAATGACTTTTTATCTAGAGGTGCAAATGTCCTTATTTTTGCGGACACATCTTCATTTCACGAGTAAATCTTAGCGTCCGCAAACAGTTTTGCACATTCTTAGATTTGTCCGTAGTTTTACAAGCCAAGATAAAATTAACACTGTGTGACTATATTGTATACGGAATGGCTACAGAACCACCTAAATCAAATTAGTAACTAAGGGGAGAAATATAATATGAAAATGAACACTACGAAGAAAGAGACTATGATGTTAGTAAGACATAAAGACAATTTAGAAATAAAATCAAAAAAGAACACCCTGAGACAAACAGAGGAATTTAAGTATTTGGGAGCAATTTTCACATCTGACGGAAAACTGGACAGAGAAATTAGCCCCACATGTGCCAAAGCTAATCAAGTAATGGGGCAACTGTCTCTCCTGTTGACACACAAGCAGATACCTCGGAGTACTAAAGTGAATCTTATCAAAACTATTTTTTGGCCAACACTATGCCATCAGGGCCAAACGTGGACACTTACATCCTCCAATTGTGACAACAGAGATGAAATGCCTTAGAAGCGCTGCAGGAGTCTCAAGGAAATACAGAATACGAAATCATGAAATCAGACGAATGATAGGAATAAAGCCAGTCTTACATGTCATCAAAGAACAACAAATAAAGTGGTTTGGACACCTAACAAGAATGCCCTGGTACTATCTGCCACAGCGAACCACACTAAAACGTTAAAACGGGTATAGAGCGAGTGGAAGACCTCGGAAAAGATGGAGTGATGGCCTTACAGAAATGATTATCAGTCTTAATACTGCTCTTGACAGAGCTCATCAACGAACATTACATCTCCCCCGACA